TTGTGTAAATTCTAACTCCTGTCATGTCGATGAACCATTTTGTTTTTTAATCGACTTGAAATAGTGTTATTTATGAACTGTTGCTATGACTCGCTTGCCTGTTACATCTTGTGATTCCGCTTTAGCGGGGTGTGACACATCGGTTGATAAAATAGAATTCCATTGGTTTGCAAGAGGACCGATGGATGAGAAATCATTTCCTAAGGATTTTAGTTGAACCAGAAGCTCTGGTCATGAAGACCAGAGGCTCTGGTCATGAAACCAGAGGCTCTGGTCATGAAACCAGAGGCTCTGGTCATGAAACCAGAGGCTCTGGTAGTACAACCAGAGGTTTTATATTTTGAGAGTAGTTTGATTTCCACCCTTAGCCTTGTTTAGAAGCTTTGGTTATATTTCTAAGTATTTATAAAATGGTGTAATTAGTAATTAAGATTATTAATGTCGCAGATCACTATGGCGTCATCTGACTCTAGTGAGTACTCAGTCGATGAATCCGATTACGTAGTTGGCCACTCTAGAAGAAACTCAGCCCATAATGAAGAGATAGACCCATACGAGCAGGACACTGCGACAAGTGGAGCATTTGCCTCTCCACAAGCATCTTTCCTACCCCCATTGGAGCCAGCACCCGATGTACCACCACAAACCTATCATGGCTCAAGGATTAGAGTCACGCCAAGGAAGAGCATTCTACTGCCGCAATGTGTGGCATTTGAGGACTCTGTTAGAGTCATAGGAGAGACATCCCGACCACAATTGGGGAGCAGGATAACACAAGTGGTGACTGGGGTACCTGCGTCCTGCACCCAGGCCATGAATCCGGCTGAAAGAGAATGGGTAAGGAGAATTACATCCGATACACAATTGCACCAGACTCGGCTGGGATACCATCACCACCACATCCTGAACAACCTGTCCGATGTGATGGAAGCACACCATCAGCGTATGTTAAGGAACATGAACGTCGTCGCTACAACAAGGAGGGAAATAAGGAGTATGTACAGGTGGATGTTAGTTAGTGGAATGGTGATGTTAATTTTGGGAATAATGATAAGATGGATGTTGTTCTAGAAGAAGGATTAGTGGTAGGATGCCCACTCTTTTGCGTAGAAACTCACTATCCTGTCTTATGTGATTGTGATCATCTTTGAATGCATAATGACTTTTTTTTGGGAAACGTTTATTTATGTCAAGTCATGGTGTGCATCAGATTAAATTATTCTTATTATGTAGATGCTTGAATAATATCCATGCGATGAACATTCTTGGCATCATTTCAATGCTTGAAAGCTATCACCCTTATATGCCATAAAAATGACGAATTCCCTTCTGATTTAGGCTTAAAAGATGCCGTCAAGGAGAGAAAATCCTGAGGTTGCACGACTAGTGTCAGAACAAATTCTGGCCGCACTCCCCAACATAGTCAGTCAAGTGGCTGCTGGCATGAATGCTAACCAACCAAATAATCCAGAGCCGAGGGCGGTTAGAGAATGCACTTATAAAACCTTTAGATCTTGCAACCCGAAAGAATTCAATGGAACCGAAGGAGCAGTATGACTATTGTTATGGCTCGAAAGCATGCAGTCTGTTCTTCACATTAGTAAGTGTACGGAAGGAAATAAAGTAGAGTATGCGGCATGTCTGTTGCATGGAAGGGCACTTACCTGGTGGAATACATTAGTGCAAAACAGAGGCCGAGAAGCGGCTAACCAGCTTTCTTGGGAAGAATTTAAGAAATTGCTAAAGGATGAAT